GTCCTGAAATTTTAGTCAAGTCTGGTCTCAGACAGAGACTGGGATATCTGGCTCACAGTGACCTCTTGAAGGGTATGAGTCACCAAAAGGCAATTTCTAGTCTCTACTTTAAAGGGTGTTCACCTGTATCAACTGGGATTTTGAGTCAAAAGCTGCAGGATGTGTCCTTTTTTCATGGTTCTCTGCTGGGGAAAATTGCATTTTCTTTCTGTTGTGACTGTCATTTTACACTGCAGCTACATTTTGTGGAGGTATTATCTCACAAATGGAGTTTCAGGCGGGGATTCAGTAAATCTCCACGTGCTCTTCTGGCTTGTCTTCAGTGAGATCAGCATCATGTTGCAAACAGGGATAAACACCCTCTCCTCCCCAGGGCCTCCAAGGAGTGGGGTTAGGTGCTTGTTAACCCTTACAGGATCAGTGAGTGCCTGTGTGAGTTATTAGAATGCACAGGGGAGTTTTGGTTGTAGAATAGCTGATTTGGGGCTAGCCTATGATGGCAGGAATTTATTTTTTTCTCACTGTGTATGTACTTTATTTTGTGACTCAGTGGTGTGGCCCCTGCAGTGAGGCTGTGCCTCCAGGGACTGGCCTGGAGCTCAGTGGTCTGTGCTGCCTCAGCCAGTGCAGCAGCTCGTTCCAGTGGGGGCTCCCGCATTTCCAGGGAGGGAACGAAGTGGTGAACGTCTGGGTTGCTTGTTTATGTTTCAAATTGCAGGTAAAATTGCTACAAGAGCAAAAAGTGGTATCTCCCTCCAGCTGATGGCAGCTTCCTCACCTGCTGATGTAAATGGGATCACCCCTCCATTTCAGCACTGGTCCTGTGGTACCTATTTACCTGACTGGCTCTAAAGATGTTTTATCCAGCCCTCAGTGATTTCCTGTGACTACAGAGAATGGAGGCTTAGTAGATATGTTTTCTCTCTGTTGCACCTCTAAAGAAATACAAGCATGTGTTTTTTGTTGCCTGTCTTGGCACGTGCTGTCTGTTTGTCCCGATCACTTTGGGTGCATGCTGGAGGGGTACCAATGTGCATGCTGGGGGTTAAGAAGGGGTGAGTGGATGCTCATCTGTGGGTGCTGTGCTGGTGCTGTTTGCGTTCTCCTGGTGCAGCACAGCCTGGGGAGGCACTCCCTGCGTGGCTCAGCTCGCCGTGGCAGCGCTGCATTTGTGGGGAGGCACCCCACGAGCAGTGCTTGTCCACCTGCATCTCTGCTTTCCTTTCCCAGCTCCCAGGAGCCCGTTCCCGCTGCAGAGAGCGCCTTGGAGGAGGCCGGGGTGACAGAGGTGGCAGTGATGAGAAGGCAGGTGAGATGGGGGTGAAGGGCTGAGAATCTTTCCTGGGAGAGGAAAGATTCACCACCACCCACAGGGGGTGGGTGAGGAGGCTCCAGGGGCAGTGGCTCATTCCTGATGGGCTGGTGCTGTCAGACTGGTCCTGCCTTAAGGAGAGGCAAGAGAGGACTTACACATGTGCCGATCCATCGAGCTCCTACCCCGAGGGGCTGAAGGGCTGCAGGACACAGCCAGACCCCTCTGGTGGCTGTGAGAGGGGCTCAGATGTTCTCTGAGGGGAAGAATCCTTTTGGGAAGCAAAAAAATCCTTTTGGGAAGGCCTGAGGTGCTGCTGCCGCTCCTCCCACACGAAGGTGGGAAAAGCTGCTGCTTTAGAAAAGGAGGGCCTGAAGGAGGCAGCAGCTCCCATCTTTTCCATCCCTGTCCCACGCTTCTGGGGTGCTGACAGTGCCCCACTGCTTCCCTTGCAGCTGGCAAGGATCTCGGGGAGGCTGCGTGTGCTGGAGGAGCAGTGCCATGCCTGGAGACAGAAGGAGGCCCTGGTGTACTCCGTGATGATCTCTGCCTGCCTCATCAACACGTGGCTCTGGCTTAGGAGATGATGGCCCGTGCCCAGCCTCCCCTGCTCACCCTGGCACGGTGGGTGAGGGCAGGGAGAGGAGCATTTCTCGTGTACTTGCCAGCAGTGGAGCTCTTTTTTTCTTGACTGGGACTCCTTTTTGCACTGTGGGCCCTCAGGAATCTGTGTCCTTCAGGCCATGATGACAGTGAAGGTGTGAGAAGCCGCTGCAAAGAGCTGAGTGGTGGCTGACACAGGAGGTGTCTGTTCTGTGCAGCTGCCCTCAGGCTGCCAGAGGAGATGCAAACCCGAGGTGTTGGGTGTTTGTGGATGTGGGGTCCTGTTACAGCCATAGCCTGTGGTGGGCCTGGTCCCCTGGCCACATCCCACCTTGGAGATCTCAACTCTGACCCCTCAGAAGTTCTCAGCTGACTGCTGTGGTCTATTCCTCATCTTCTGTAGAGTGACTGAGCGTTTCTAAACTTCCTCTGGGTTTTCTTTTCTTCCTTGTGCAGCTGCTGTTTGGTGGAGGTGACACTGCCAGGTCTCCTGTGCCACAGCCCCTCTTCCAGGAGTGGAGCTGGAGGGGCCAGGAGCTCCCATCCCTGCAGCCACAGCAGCTTTGCAGATGCTCAGATCCAAAGTGGCTGTAAGAGCCTTGCTGACATCTGGGTTTATCCAGGGGCTCGGTTCTTTCCCAGAGAGATTTACGTGGGAAACCTCCCCATGGTGGCTCTCTGGATTATAAAACCCCATATCAACAGGGATAGCACCAAACAGGTGAGGGAAAATACGTATTTGTTAGGCTTCCCGTGGCAGAGGGGTGTGGAGGGGTCTCTCCCAGGTCTTGCTGCCAAGCTGAAACTTCAGTGATGGTGCAAGAACACGGGTGAGGGAAATTCCTGACCCAGATGCTCTTTAGCTGTAAACAAGCTCAGTTTAACAGCTCTTCTGTTTGTTTCCTTCTCTAGAGTTTAGTAAGACTTGATTCTGAGGTGACTTTGAGATGTTTCTGGTGGTTCATCCAGCACATCTGCTGGAGTTGTGCATGCAGGCCCTGGGGGCAGGTTTTGGCAAGGCTTAACAGGACCTCTCTGTGTCACCTATACCTAATTATAGCTGGATCTACATGTCATCCAGATGTCCCAGTAGCTTATTTGCAGACATCAGTGCTCAGGTGTTTTCTGCTTGACACCGCATCAAGCGTCCGTGACTGTAAATCTGGCAGCTGGACAGTGATTAATAAATAACTGTCCCAAAGTAATTGCAGGTCTGAACCTGTGGCTGATTGCTGAGCTGAGGAGAGCGCTGGGATTTATTGCAGATGAGAGCCAGGGTGGTGGGGTGGGCTTGGTGTGCTGTGCTGTGCCAGGGGGGACGTGCAGGACGGGTGGCTCCTGTGGCTTCTGGCTCAGGGATGGGGTCAGGGTTGCCAGAGGACCTTACACAACTGTTCTGTATAAGGGGATGGGAGTCGTGTCAGGAAATGAGGTAAATTGTCTGCTTTCTCTCCTTGGAGAGGTGTTAACGTGTTTTGGAGGAAGCTTGTGTTTGGGGTTTATTTTAAGCTGTATTTTAGGGTGAGAAGGGATGACTTTGGGAGGGCACACCACCTTCAAAGTGTGGCTTGAAGGTGTTTGGAGGAGAGATGGTCAAACTGGATGTGTTCTCATGGGCTAGTTCCTGGCAGGTTCTGGAAGATATGACTTCTATGTAAGGTGTAAATTCCGGTGTAAATCTGGAAGCACTGAGCACAAAATCCATATTTTAATAAACTCTGTGTGTTCTGGACATGTTTCTTTTCTGTGGAGTCTGATCCTGATGTCGCAGTAAGTGGGAACAGGTAAGGTTTGGCATCAGGACTGTGACCTGTGGGTGTCTGAGCCCCAGCTGCCCTGGCTGAGGGGGAATCTTGAGTAAAAAAGCTTCTGGTTAATGATGTCCCTGTTGGAGTGTGATATTTGTATTTCCTTTTTTCTCTTCCTTACCTCCTCCTCCTCCTGGCTGCTTTGTCCCAAGGCAGCACACGTGGCAGGGCTGGGTGTCCCCATGGGCCACTTCCACAATGAGGTGCACAGCAAATAAAGTGTTTTGTGCACCGTGGTGCTCGAGGGAGCAGCTCCTGGAGCTCCCGTGTTCCTTTTGGAGGCAGCTGCAGGCAGGGGGCAAAAAGAGAGTTGGAAGGGGGACGTGCTGCTGCCAGTGCTCCTGGTGAGCTGTCACCTGCAGTCTGTGATGTGGGGACAAGAGCAGGGTGACAGCCTGTGCTGCTGGGTCCTCACCCAGGAGCCGCAGCCCCAGCCAAGGCAGAGAAATTCTGTTCCTTCCTTTGGACTCTCTGCTGCCTGGGTGCTCGGTGAGATCACGAGTGGAATTTAAGGGTTTGAAGGGGAGAGTAGAAGGTAAACCTTTGATAGCAAAGATAAAAGAGACTCCTGGTGCTGGTGCTTTTCACATCAGCCCTGCACAAGGTGCAGGACTCCATGTCAGGGATGGATCCAGCCTCAGCCACTGCACATGGTTACATGCTGGAGGGAGAGGATAAAAACTGACCTCTTCCTTATTGCCTTGGGGATGCAGATTTTTTTTGCTAACTGGGTATTAGAATGACTTCTTGAGCAAAATAAGAGGGCAGAAATTGGTGAAAAGTGCATTTCATGATCACCTTCAAGCTCCGCAGCTCTCTTTGATGGGACTCCAGAGCAGCACTTTTGGTCCCCTGCTCTGCCAGCAGGAGAAGAGGTAAGTGGACACGAGGGCGTTAAAATGTGTTTACTTTTTCCAGTTTTCCATCCTAGCAGTAGCTGTGGCACAGCCTCTGAAGCAGGGAAACAATCACCATCTTTGCTTTTCCCCAGGGCAGGGGGCTGGGAGGGGAACCCGGGAGCATCCCCTGGTGTGGCAGGACCTGAGCCCATCTGGGGGTGCCTGTCCCTGGGTACACAGCGACCCTTCAGCGAGGAGATTTGGGGGTCACTGGGCACAGAGCTGCTCGGGAGGGCTGTGATCTCCAGCTGGCCGCTGTCCTGGAGTTGTCTGGGCTCACCTTTCCCTCGTCCCCTTTCATCCCCAGACACGAGGCTGGCTGCTGTCAGCTCCTCTGGAGTGCGCCTTGCTGCTCAGGGCAGCGGGGATGCTCCGGGGATGGGCGGTGACAGCCACCCCGGTGTGTGTGTGTGCTGTCCCCTGCTGCCCAGCCACCTCCGCTTGCTCTGCCCTGCCCCGCTGCTCTCAAAGCCGCAGCGCTCCGGGGACAGCCCGGCAGGCTCCTGGGGCAGGGATGCTCCCCAGCCAGCCCTGCCAGCCCGCCTGAGGCAGCGGCACAGCCCGCAAGGAATCGGGGGACGCCGGGGCTGTAAGTGGACGCTGGTGGCTTCTCGGAGTGGCACCGCTGCCCTGGGGAGGTGGGGAAGGGAGGGGAGGGCAGGCAAGGCAGGTTAGGCAGGAGTAGGGGAGGTTAGGTTAGGCAGGAGTGGGATGGGATAGGTTAGGCAGGAGTGGGGTAGGTTAGGTTAGGCAGGAGTGGGGTAGGTTAGGTTAGGCAGGAGTGGGATAGGTTAGGCAGGAGTGGGGGAGGTTAGGCAGGAGTGGGGTAGGTTAGGCAGGAGTGGGGTAGGTTAGGCAGGAGTGGGGTAGGTTAGGCAGGAGTGGGGTAGGTTAGGCAGGAGTGGGGGAGGTTAGGCAGGAGTGGGGTAGGTTAGGTTAGGTAGGAGGGGGATGGGATAGGTTAGGCAGGAGTGGGGTAGGTTAGGCAAGGGGGGACGTAGGAAAGGGTGGGATAGGCAAGGAAAGGAAAGGAAGAGGTAGAAAAGGGAAGGTAAGACAAGAGAAGCCAGGTGAGGCAACCCAAAGCAAGGCAAAGGAGGGGTAGGAAGGACAAGAGAGGGGAAAGCAAGCAAGGTAAAGGAGGGGTTGGACTGGGAAAAGCAAGGCAAGGGAAGGGCAGGCAGGGCAGGGAAAGGAGGAGTACACAAGGAGAGAAATGGGAAGGGGAAGGCCAGGCAGCAGAAGGCAAGGAGAGTAGGAAAGGCAAAGGAGAGATGGGAAAAAACAGGGAAGAGAAGGAAAAAAAGGTATTCCTCTGGCAATGAATGCGGAGCCTGGATGATGAGGAGAGCATCTTTCACGGCCCCAGGCAGCTGTGGGATCTCTTGGAGAGAACAAAATGCCCTGCAGGACTCCTCCTGCAGGTGCTGGGAAATATGGTGTGGGCCCACACCATGGTATTTGACCCTCTCTTCCCACGCCATGCTGGATTTCTGTGTTCAAACCACTTGATGTGTCCTGCATGTGTTTTCTTGTGGCTGTTTTGTGCTTTTTGCAGGTCCCTGGGGTAGGGTGTGTGCCCGTGGTCTCCTGACCCTGAGGATGCTGGCGAGGAGCAATGGTCTGCACAGCTCCCCAGCCAACCACCAGCCCAAGGGTGACACGGAGGGGACAGGGCTCAGCACCAGCAGGTCAGGCTGGTCCCTGATTTGGTTGAGGTTTGGGCAGGGGAGGGAAAGGCGTGGCACGGGGTTTGTGATGCCCAGTCTCTGCTGCCAGGTTCCTCCTATGCACCTGGCAGTGCCGAGGTGGCACAGTGTGGATGTGATCCCCCTCTTCCCCACTTCAGGACCTGCTCAGCCCAGGATGACACCAGCTCGGAGCTGCAGAGAGGAGCCAGCCTGGATGGGGGGGAGCAGAGGGCTGACCATGCTTTCCAAGGCCAGGGAGCCTTGGCCAGGTACTTGTGTGTGCCACTGGCATGGGGTGAGCCTTTTGTGCCTGGCCTTGACACTGGGGCCTTCTGTGGGGTCAGGATCCCCTTCTGCTGTGTGGAATTCGTGGGATGCAGGGATGAGTGTCTGTGAATGCTGCTCTCTGTGCCCCAGTGGCCATGGAGAGGGTTTTGGTAGGGGATGGCTTCACCCCCCTGGGCTCAGAGGCTCCTTTCCCTGCAGGCAGCCTCCCTCTGCCTCAGTCACAGATTCCTCATATTCCTGTGGCAATGACAGCAGGCCTGGGGTAGAAGTTGTGGAACTCTATCAGGGTGGTCTCTATTGCTTGTGTGTTTTTGGTCCCACATCATCACTAAAAGGGGTAAAAAAAGACATTCTAGTGCTTGGAAGGGAGCTGCAAGAGTTTCCTTCTCAGCTGTAGCTCCCCTGATGACTCTGAAGCTTTTGCTTTGTCCTTGCTCTGTTAACAACTCCTGTGTCTGCCTCCCTGGCCTGTCCAGGGTAGTTCAGCTGGTGCTGGTGCTCAGGAGCTGGGCCAACAAGAGCCTGCAGGAGGAGCAGCAGAGGCCAGACCCCTTCCTGGAGCGTTTTCAAGGCCCCGAGCTCCTGACAGTGGCTGCAGGTGCTGGCGACGAACTTGAGGATGAGGAGGCTGAGAAGTTAAACAAAAGGTAGGATCCCTTTCCTGCGGTCCCAGCTGGAACTGGGGGGGCTGCCAGTGGGGATGGGAAAGAAGTGGAGTGGAGTGGGTGGGAAGGGTCCCTCCTGCCCCTGTCTTGGCAGCCAGCCTGGCTCTGCTGGGCTGTTTTGCTGACACACAGGACCTGGTGGTCTGTCCCTGTGGAAGAGACCTGGCCTGTCCCTCAGCCATGGGGTCTTCTCCTTCCTGGTCCATGCCTTGGTGGGAAACATGTCAGACCTCCCCAGTTTCATACCAGTCCCACACTAGGGCTGTGTTTGGAGCCAGCCCTGGCTCTGTGATTAGATGCACCTGCAGCTTGTGCATATGAGGGGCTGGACACAAGCCAAGGGATGCAGGACTCCACCCAGCAACCACTGCATCCCACCCAGGAGCCACAAATCTGTGGGATTTGCCAGTCTCATTCATCATCTTCAGGATGAAAGGAGTGTGTTTGCTGCCTGTGTCCCCACAAAGAGCAGCTTTCTGAAAAGGCTCTTTCAAATGCAGCCCTTTCATCTCCTCAGCTCACACTCCTGGTGAGAAGCAATAACCTGGCTTTTCTTCTGCTGGCTAATTAGAGGGCAAAGCTCACAGACTGCTCTGGACCCTACCATTATACATGGTAATTAAAACACCGAGAAATAATTGTTTTATGTAGGAGAAAAACAATCTGAGCCTTGTATCTGGAAGAAAATACTGTGAGGTTAAGGGGAGCTTGTTCCTGACTAGAAGGAGCTGAAGTGTTCTGTGAAAGGGCTGCTCATGTCTTCTGGGGGTAGAGTGGGAACTTCTGGAGTTTTCTGGGTCCTCAGCTCCACAAGTAAGAAGAGCCCCAAGTCTGGTAATCCCACATGTGTGCTGCTGCCCACGGCCATGGCAGGTTCCACGGCTCCAGGCCTGAGTGCAAAGCCTTTGGGAAGAGGCAGATGATTATTCCCTCTTCCTGGGTTAACCCAGAGCCCTGTATTTCCAGCCCTGGCCCTGCTCTCAGTGTAATACCAGTAATTCTGGCCACTGTCATGGCATCACTGGTGATTTAAAGCTGAAGTTACTAACATCATTAACAGCATCACAGGTTATTAGTGGCTGTGGGTGCTACAGCTGTCTGGGCTGGCTGCAGGTGAGTCAGAGCTTCCCCTGTGTGTATGCATACAGTGCTGTATGCCCTATGGAGCAGGGTGCCTCTCTCGAAAAACAAATGTTCAACTTGCACTTTCTGGTTAAAAACAAACCCTTTTAATGGGGAGGCCAGATCACCACTTGTCTGTGGGTGCACTGAGGGTGAACATGAGGGACTGGGGCTGGCTTTGTGCCGAGTGCCAGTCCCCACACTCCAGGCACTGCCTGTACTCCAGGGAAAGGAGACTTCCAGGCAGGGCTTCTGCCTTTGAAGCTGCCAAAATAATGGGGTGGGCATGGGCAATTTGTTGGCAAGTGGGTTGTTTTTTTTTCCCCTATCACTGGAGGGAGTTTTTCATCTTCAAAAGCTGGAGGGAGGGAGGGAAGGAAGGAGGGAGAGGGTGTTTTGCCCCACCAGGCTGCAGCAGCTATAAGCCTATCAGCCCAGCCACAGAGTTTCTCTTCCCCAGTGAATCTGGCAACAGGAGCACACACTTCTTATCTCAGAGTCCCAAGACGAGCAGGATCAAACACTTGGGAGCAGTTCAAAGGCTGGAGCCCGGGCTGTGCAGACTGCAGGAGGCACAGGAGGCCGTCCTGCCATGCCAGCTGCCCCCAGGGCCACTGCTCTGGGGCTTGGGCAGCCCCTCCTGGTGCTGCCACTGATCTGCAGCACACTTCCCTTCCTGCTCCACTTAATCTTCTCCTCAGGTCTGCCTGGCACCGCTCCCTCCCTCACCTGGGAGAAGTAATGTCATGTCACGTCTCAAGAACTTTTCTGATCACCCTCTTCCGTTCATCTGTTCCTGGCTCTGCAGCCACTGGGGTGCTGTGTCATGTGGGCCACCTGCTTTGCCTCACCATCCCACAGATTCCACTTCTGCTGCTTTCCCTGCTCAGTTTAAGGGATAAAGGAACTTAAACAGTGCTGGCATTTGGCACTGCTGGGAATGGTTTTGGCTCTGACTGGCACCCAAGCAGCTCTGTTCGAGGCAGTGGGGTGCAAGGGGTGAAGGATGTGGCTCCGATGCTTCCTTCCAACCCTGTTTTCCACAGACACTGCCAGCTCTGTCTCTTCTCTCTGCTTCCAGGAGGAAATGGCAGTTCTTTGTGGTGGACCCTGCAGGGGACGGGTATTACCACTGGCTGGCTGTGATTGCAGTTCCTGTCCTCTATAACTGGTGCTTGCTCGTAGCCAGGTGAGCTGGGAGGTTCTTGGGGTTCCTCTGACCCTCCTGGTCACCTGGTTGTTGTGGCTCAGCCAGGACCAAGCTGACACTCATGGTGCTGGGGCTGGTGGGCACTGAAAGAGACCCTCCACTGTCACTGTGAGTTCTGGCCCAGCTGGAAAGGGCTGTGGTTTCAGGGTCATTTGGGAGGTGGTTTCAAGATGTTGCTTTATTTTCATCAAGGGAGGGCAGATTTTTCAGAGCAGGGAGTTTTAACTCCTAGAAGAGGAGCGTACCCAGTGGCCAAGCTCTGTTGCAGAGTTGGGTACCTCAGGATCAGCCTATATCAAACTGTAATAATTAGAGAAGGTGTGGGGATTTGTGGCCTCACACCCTGTTTGATGGCCTTCCTCCAGGGCTTGCTTCACTGACCTGCAAAAGACCTATTTTGTGCTGTGGCTGGTGTTGGATTACATCTCAGATGCTCTCTACCTCGGGGACACAGTGATCCGCCTGCACACAGGTGAGCAGGAGCAGCATCCTGGCCTTCCTTTCATCCCTTAAAAGTGGAGATGAGCTGCAAGGGACAGGCCTAATCCATCCAGTCCCATTAGAAGGAGGGTTTTGCCTACCTTGGCGTTCACTTTTACGAAGCAGTCTCCAGAGAAAGAATCTAATTAGAAGATCTGAGAAATGGAGCAAGTTTCAATATGAAAGATTAATCATCCCAGCTTTCAACTTCACCTTTGAATAATTGTACAAAATTACCTGCATTACTATTAGTATTCAGGCGTAGTTGAAGGTCTGTATCTCTGATTTTGCATCAGTTCAGCTAATGAATTATCTGCATGGAAAAATGGTAGAATTTAATGTTCTCGGAAGGCAGCACTTGGCTGAACGTTTGCTGTCAGAACTGCAATAATTCATGATCTGGAGGATGGAAACCTTTGTGTTCCTTTTTCTTCATGGCAACAGACTAAACCCCTGAGTGATATCTTTGGGTGGCTTTTGCCAGATGAAGGCCTTGAGTGGTAACAAACTGAGTATAGCAGGAACTGGTAATATTTGGGTGACCCTGTGTATTTATGCATATCACAGACTATTGCTCAGGTGCTCACAAAACCTGCAGAGGTGCCAAACTTAAACCAAGATAATCCTGTAATTTGCTTCTCTTTAGGATTCTTGGAACAGGGCCTCCTGGTTAAGGACCTGAAGAAGTTACGGGATAACTACATCCACACGCTGCAGTTCAAGCTGGATGTTCTCTCCACCCTGCCCACAGACCTGGCCTATTTTTTGGTGGGATTGCACTGCCCCGAGCTGCGTTTTAACAGGCTGCTGCGCTTCTCCCGCATGTTTGAGTTCTTCGATAGGACCGAGACCAGAACCAGCCACCCAAACATCTTCCGCATCAGCAACTTGGTTCTTTACATCCTGATTATCATCCACTGGAATGCCTGCATTTACTATGCCATCTCCAAGGCCATAGGCTTCGGGGAGGACAGCTGGGTCTATCCCAATGTCACAGACCCTGAGTACGGCTCTCTGACCCGGGAGTACGTCTACTGCCTTTACTGGTCTACGCTGACTCTGACCACCATCGGGGAGACGCCTCCCCCTGTGCGGGATGAAGAGTACCTCTTTGTGATCTTCGATTTCCTCATCGGCGTCCTCATCTTCGCCACCATCGTGGGGAACGTGGGCTCCATGATATCCAACATGAACGCCACCAGGGCGGAGTTCCAGGCCAAAATCGATGCCATCAAGCACTACATGCAGTTCCGCAAGGTGAGCAAAGACCTGGAAACCAAAGTCATCAAGTGGTTCGACTACCTGTGGACCAACAAGAAGGCAGTGGACGAACGGGAGGTCCTCAAGAACCTCCCTGATAAGTTGAGGGCAGAGATTGCCATCAACGTTCACCTGGAGACACTGAAGAAGGTGAGGATTTTCCAGAACTGCGAGGCAGGGCTGCTGGTGGAGCTGGTGCTGAAGCTTCGCCCTCAGGTGTTCAGCCCGGGGGATTACGTGTGCCGCAAAGGGGACATCGGGAAGGAGATGTACATCATCAAGGAGGGCAAGCTGGCCGTGGTGGCGGATGATGGGATGACACAGTACGCTTTGCTCACTGCAGGGGGCTGCTTTGGTGAGATCAGCATCCTCAACATCAAAGGGAGCAAAATGGGCAACAGGCGCACAGCCAACATCCGCAGCTTGGGCTACTCTGATCTCTTCTGCCTGTCAAAGGAAGATCTCATGGAAGCAATCACAGAGTACCCTGATGCCAAAAGGATCTTGGAGGAGCGTGGCAGGGAGATCCTAATCAAGGAAGGGCTGCTGGATGAGTCAGCTGCAGAGGAAAGCACAGAAGGGAAGAGCATGGAGGAGAGGCTGGACAGGGTGGCCTCAAACCTGGACACGCTGCACACCCGCTTTGGCCGGCTCCTGACTGAGTACAACGATGCCCAGATGAAGCTCAAGCAGCGCATCACTGCTCTGGAGTCCAAGATGAGGCAGGAGGAAGTGGAGGATTTCTTCTCTGATAGCTCAGACAGTCTGTTTGAGGATGAGGAGAAAGCTTCACCTGGTGGGATGCAATGAGGGGGAACAGAGTCAGCTGGATGATGTCTGACCTTGTGCTGAGGCAGTGTTTGCTGTTTCACAAGGCAGACCCTGTGGCTGCCTTGCCAGGGCCTTTTCTCAGGTCCTTGGCGCTGCTGCTGGCACTGCCTTGATGGCAGCCCCTGAGGTGGCTCCAAATCAGGGGATTGCCCTGGCTCCTCCTCTGACATGTCACTTGTTTCATTGCCTTTTGGGCCAGCCTTTGTAACTCACTTCAGGTAATCAGTCCTCACTGAGTGTCTGCAAAGACTGCCCAGTCTGCACCCAGAAACTCTTTACTCACAGTCCCCAAACTCAGCTAGGACTCTGCACCCAGAAACTCTTTACTCACAGTCCCCAAACTCAGCTAGGACTCTGCACCCAGAAACTCTTTACTCACAGTCCCCAAACTCAGCTAGGACAGGCCAAACTGTGCTTCAGACGTCTGCAAAGGGAGAGGCTTGTCTGGGTCACTGTCACTGCCCTGCTCCCCACCCTTGCTGAGGCTGGCAGGGTCTGCATCCTCTGCCTCCTGCCTGCCTCTCTCTTCTGTTATTTGGTGCTGTCAGGGGACACCTGGTGCAGGTGCTTTGGTGCCCTGAGCCCTGCACCCTCCTGGGAACAGCATTCCCAAGGCTGTGGAAGCAGCGTGATCCCCATCTGGGCTGTGGATGTCTTGGGTGGCAAGGGACATGCAGAGGTGCAGTGCTGGCAGTGCTACAAATCAGACAGAGAGAGTCTCTCTCCTCCATCCAACGACAGCCAGATGTGCCAGGAGAGGTTTGACTGGAATGACATGTTCCTAAGGAACAAAGCCATGGTGGGAGCCAGCTGTGCCCGTATTTGCTCTGCTGTGGGTAGCTCAGAGAGAGTGCAGAACACATTTATTTTCTTACGCAGGGGGTTTTCTTGTACCCAGTGGGAGTTTTGGGGGTTTGCAGGCTGCAGAGGCCCCTGCCTTCTGGAGGAGACATGAGTGGCAAAGCCACAGGGACACGTGTGAGGATGCAAACGTGGCACCATTGCAAGTGCCAGCAAAGCTCTGCCAGGCTGTGCTGCAGCCCTGGCGGCTCCACGGTGTGAGCAGCTTGGTGGAGAGGGGAACAGTGCAGGAACAGCCCCCAAACCCCTGCAAGCAGCAGCAGCAGTGCCAGCAGCATTGTCACCCATGCCTTGGGGTACAGGGCAGGTGCTGGGACTGGAGGAGGACACCTCATTTCTTGGTTCTGGGCCTGTGAGCCCACTGCACCTGTGAGGTGGCCTTGGGCTGGTACCAAGCAGGAGAGTATTTGGTGGAGAAGGAAATTCATGTTCTGTGTCAACCTGAGCCAAGAGTTTGGCTGAAATGATGGGAGGACACGTTGGGAAATATCAACCCAGAAGGGTTCATAGTGGAAAACTGAGGGTATTGCCTTTGTTCTTTCTTTCCTTCCAATCTAAAACTGCCTCTGCATTTCATATGAATGCTTTCCATTTAAAAATAAAGGCCTTGTTTTTGGGACTGTGGGGGTAGGAACGGTTACATTACCAAAATTAGAAGTTGGGGTAAGAATAAAAGATTTTTTGTCATCTCTGAATTAAACTGTACATGTGCCCCCATTTGGGTTTTTTTTTGTTTGGTTTTTTTGTTTTTTTTTTTTTTTTTTTTTTTTTTCCTTTTATGACCAAGATGCTCTTGGCTGAAGTTGGTGTAGTTGCAGTTCTGCTACTCCTTATAAATGCCACGAGCCACGGCTCCCACATTCCCCTTTTCCTGGGAATATTGATCATGGATTTGCAGCTTCCTCTTTGCAGAGCCGGTCCTAAACCGCCCTACCCCTCTGCACCTTCCGTTCTCCTCCCGCACCTCCCGTTCTCCTCCCGCACCTCCCGTTCTCCTCCCGCACCTCCCGTTCTCCTCCCGCACCTCCCGTTCTCCTCCCGCACCTCCCGTTCTCCTCCCGCACCTCCCGTTCTCCTCCCGCACCTCCCGTTCTCCTCCCGCACCTCCCGTTCTCCTCCCGCACCTCCCGTTCTCCTCCCGCACCTCCCGTTCTCCTCCCGCACCTCCCGTTCTCCTCCCGCACCTCCCGGCGCTGCGGTTGCGGCGGGCGGGCAGCAGAGGGCGCTGTGAGCCGCGGAACCGCCGCGCCCGCGCGGGACCCTCGGGCCGGGCCCTCAGTGCGGGCAGGGGGACCTCGGTGTGACATCCCCGTGTGGGGGACCTCGGTGTGACATCCCCGTGTGGGAGGACCTCGGTGACACATCTCCGTGTGGGGGACCTCGGTGTGACAACCTCGGGATGGGGGGACCTCGGTGTGACATCCCCGTGTGGGGGGACCTCGGTGTGACATTTCCGTGTGGGGGACCCTCAGTGTGACAACCCCAGGCTGGGGGACCTCAGTGTGACATTTCCGTGTGGGGGGCTCTCAGTGCCACACGCCGTGCGGGCGAGGGGACCCTCACTGCGGGACCCTCCCTGCGGGACCCTCCCTGCGGGCTCCCACCCGGAGTGGAAAGCCGAGCCTTTGCCAAGGCCACCCCGAGAGTCTCTCGATGCCTTTTCCTCCGCCCCGCAGCTGCTCCGGCTCCGCGGGCTCTGCTCCATCGCTGCCCCGGCCCCGCACAGGGCAGCTCTGGGACAGCTCTGGGAGCTCTGCCCTGCTCCCGGGGATGGGCGGAAAAACCAATCAAGCCCCCTCCCTCCTCCAGTTTTAATCCGAGATAATAATGCACTCGGGAAATTTTAAGCCTTCAGACAAATGACCCCAGGGGATGGCTTTGTGAATTCAGAGCAGATCCCGCTTGCTTCCTCAAGGCGGCCAGCCAGGAAATCATGGATTGATGAACAACTTGACGGGCCTGCTAATGAAATTAGCAGCAGCTCCATGATTTTTTTCCAGTGAGCAGGACAGGCAGATGTTGGAGGGAAGAACACAATGGCACAGCTGCACTTGCAGGCTGCCTAAATTCCCGGCAGAGCGGACATGGGGCTCAGCAGATCCAGCTTTGGCTGCTGCCCATTTTACAGGTGCTTTCCCTAAGGCTCCCCTGGAGATGGGGAGCAAAGGTATCCAGGAGGAAAACCCCAGTGTAAGGGTCTGCTCAGCGCCCTGCAGACACGTGCCCCTGTGCCACAATGCATTGAGCTGCCTTGTCCATACATTATTAATAATTTCCTTCTTTTAGCTCTCTCCAAAGATAGCTTCTGTTCTACAGGGGGCTTTCTCATCTGTGCATTGTGGATGGGAGACATCAAATGTGGAGCAAATATTTTGACTTTGGGAGAGGTTGTGCCACAGGGAAATGTGTAATTCACCAGGCAGCCACCCATCAGAGCAGGGAAGCACCCTGGCATCTGCAGCAGATGTTTTCTGCTATCAAAGGATGCATCTTCAGACCTGGCCTGCCTGTAACAGAGCTGCAGGAAAAAGCCTGGGATACTCAGGTGAATCAGCCATAGCTGCACTGTGCCACACTGGGTTTCCCTCCCCTGTGAGCATCGCTTCCAGGAATGAAATGATCGTCACTGGATGATACCCAGAAAAAGCTCTCATCCACCTCTGGGAAGTGCAAGTACCCATTTCACAGCTGGGGAAAATGGAGAGAGCCTGCCAGGACACAGTGGTGATAACTGCTGCCTCCCAGCTGCCTGCTTTTTGTTTTTCTTCGGGTGTTCATGAGGAGGTGATTTTGGTGGTGAGCGAGCCCCCAGATAACCTCTGCTTAGGCGGTGGACAGCAAGGCTGCAGCGCAGGAGACCATCTGGCTTTGCCCACTCCCCAGAGCTAAGTCAGGTCAGCAAGCTGCAAACAAGGTTTGTGTGAGTTTGGACCAGTGGATTTAGGGACTGCAGAGAGGGTCTGGCCCTGAGCCCAGGGTCTGGCACGAAGCCTGAAGCACAGCAGGCTCAACCTGGTGAGATCTGTGTGCCAGGGGAATGGTGTGGAGCGCAGGGGCAAACTCCAGTCTTGCTCTGTCGTCCTGACCACACTGTGACTCTCCTATGGGCTGGCTGGACACAAATGTCTTGAAAATCAGGAAAGTTTGGAGGCATCTCCAAACCCTCCAGCATGGGCCTCTTTTAGAGCTCCCTAGACAGCTTTTCTTCCTTCAGCTCCTGCCTCCTCTGCACCCAGGGGAACCAGGACTGCTGCTGGTGCTGCTATCCCAGGAGTGAGGCACTGAATGCAGAGGGCTGCTGCAAATGAGATTCCACCCGTTCTCAAGGGGCTGGCATGTGGAGGTGGTGTAGAAGGTCACCAGCCTCCCATGCAGCTGTTTCCTGGAGGGGGAAATATCTTGCTCAGGCTCCTTTGCATTCAGGAGCTCTGAAATCAATCAAATCAGGGACACAGTCTGCTTCTCCTGCAGGTAGGAGTGAGGTTCCAGAGGAAAGGCTCTGCACCCTGCTTGTTCTCGTGGCTGATGCTGGATGTGCCATGCCCTGGGGCTGCTCTTGGGAAATGGCTGGGGAAGGCATGAGCCCTGTCAGAGGTGGTGCTGGGCAATCTGTGTTTCCTTTGCAGCCCCAGGTGAGTGTCAGGGGAGCTCTCTGAGGCGTGGTCCCCTCTTTGGAAGGCACAGTTGGTGCTGAGTGCTCAGCATGTCCCAGTCCTGTCCTGTGCAGCCAAAGCCCTCTGTCACCCCGTCCTCATGTGGGGTCCCGGTGTGGTGTGGGGACTGCCACCATCCCCACGAGCACATCTCCCAGCCAAAGAGAGCACAGCCAAACTGGATGAAGGCTGCAGCCCCTTGTGGGTGGCAGGAGGCTGCACACCGTGCAGGTCCAGGCCAGCCTGTCTGAGCTCCTGTGCTGGCTGCTGGCTCGCTCCCCTCCTTCTCTCCCATTCAAAATACCATGATGCTGCCTCTTTTCTTGGGTAAACAAGCAGAAGTACCTGTTCCTTCCTGAATCCAAGCGTGTGTTGCCATGACAGCAGCTCAGGGTGATGGGTGAGCAGGAGGTGAAGCCATCTCAACCACCTCCCTTGGAGGGATGGAATGGAAGATCCTGGGATGCCTTCCCAACAGCCCTTCTCCCCCTGACCCACAAGTCTGGGGTTTCTGAGGGTGAAGGCTTCCTTGTCCCATGGTGGGGCTCTCCCTGGTGCTCTCCTCAGCCCAGCCCTGCATGCTCGTAAACGTTGCCTTTTGGTCTTGGCCACATGTCATATTACATCTTCTGGACTGGAGAGTGTAGGGGAAATACAGGAGAGGATTTAGGTTTATCCTTTGTGGAGCCAGCTA